TAATGTTAAAAAAATTTAAGTTTTAAAATTTTTGCTAATAAATTTATTATAAATATTACGAAAAATTAAATATTCAAAATTTATAAATAAATTTGGGAATAAAAAATGCATTTTCACTTTCCCTTTGTAAAATTTTTTCTTTTAAAACCCCAAAAATTTTAGGTATTTTTTAATAAAAAGTAAAAGCAAATAAAACTTTTTTAACAAAAAAAAGAAATGATTTGGGCCAGGAAAAAAAAGGGGAAATTACAAAAATTTTCCTTTTTGTAACCCCCTTGAAAAGCCCTTAAAAGTTAAAAAATTTTTTTTAGGTTAATTTTTTTTTATTTTCCCCGGGTAAAATCAAAACAAAATTTGTAAAAACAATTTTTAAAATTTCCGCCTTTCCTTTTGTAACCCTTTTAAAAAGTAATAGTTTAGTCAAATCCAAATTTTTTATCACGTGGTTTTAAAAGTTAATTTTTGCCCGTATGTTCTGTTAGAAAATATTTAAATGGAAAACCAGGTGTTGGAATTTTTTACAAAATTTTTTTTTAAAGAGTGAAAAAGGGATTCCCTGTTATTTTTTAAATTTTAAATCTTCCTGGATAATTCCACGTCTTAAGAAGTCTAATTACCCCTTTGGGTTTGTTTATTTTATTCGCTTTAAACAAATTCTGTCGGATTTTCAGACTTGAAAAAAATTTAAAACTTGAATTTTTAAAGTTTTCCCAAGGCCAAAAAAAAAAGGGGGGAAGTAATTTAGAATTTAAAGGCGAATTTACTCCCACCCCTTCAGCTTCATCATTTGAAAATAGATTTTAACTCCCTGAGATGACCAAAAATTTCACAATTTGGGTTTTGGTCTTAAAAATTTTTTAAAAATTTTAAAACCCCCTTTAAAAATTTTGGCGGCCATTTTCCCCAACCTACCCCAAAAAGTTTTTGAAAAAATTAAATTACATCCCTAATAATTTTTTTATTTCATTTTTTTTTAAAGGGGATTTCGAAATTTTTAAAAAATTTTCCATTTTTTCCCATAAAACTTCCCCATTTTCCCCATTTTCCCCGGGGTCAGTTTTAAAAACCTTTTTTCCTCCTTATTCCCATATTTTAATCTTTTTTGCCCATTTCTAAAAGATTTTTAAAATTTTCCTATATTTTCCCCAGTAAAATAGGTTGGTTTTTGGAAACCCTTGGGGGGTTGTTTGGGGTTGGGGTTTTGGGGATTAATGAGCTTTTTGGCCCCAGGGTTCTAAAAATTTTAAAGATTTTTCCTTTTTCCAATGAAAATTTGGTTGGGCCCCTTTAACCCCCTTTCCCCCGGGGGCTGTTTTAAAAAATTAATTTTAAAACCGAGGAATTCCCAATTTTCCATCTTTCCTGCCCAGGGGTTTTTGGGAAAAATTAAAAGATTTTTATATTTTCCTTGTAAAAACAAGGCGCATTTTGCCCCCCCTTCCCCCTTTGTTTTTTTTTTAAAAACCCTTAAATTTAACACGAGGTGATTCAATGAGTTCATTTTCTCCATTTCTAAAAATTTTTAAAGTTTTTTTATTTTCCTTTTAAAAATTTTCCTGATTTTAAATTGCCCTATATTTAAAAATTGAATTAATACTGGGAATTACTTAAGTTTATCTTGTAAGTTTCTTTTTAAGATTTTTAAAAGATTTTTCTTATTTTATGTCTGGTGGCCCATTTTGGCCCCCATAGGGGGCCCATGATTTAACGATTAAATCCTTTCCGGGATTAAAAAGGTTCCATCTTTCCTGGAATTTTAAAGAAAAATTTAAAGATTTTTCCTAATTTTCCCTTTTGAAAATTAAATAAAAGGCCCCCCCTTTCAGGGTAATTTGAAAAATTAAAATTTAACAAATTAAAATTTTTACATGATTAACCCTTCCTGCCCCAAATGTTCTAGGGAAATTTTAAAATTTTAAATTTATAAAATAGGGCGGAAAAACCCCAAATTTGTTTTTGTGTTTAAACCCTTAATTAATTATAATTTTTCCAAATAGTTCATTTTGGCCATTTCTAAAGAAATTTTAAAAGTTTTTCCAAAATTAAATGAAAATTTTGGGGTCGGCCTTTCCCACCCCCCCCAAAGTTAAAAAATTAATTACTATAAAAATTTTAAAATTTTGTTTCTTTTCCCTTGCCCTAGTGGTTTTTGGGGGAAGAAATTTTAAAAAAATTTTCTAAATTCCATGTAAAACTTTCCCAATTTCCCCAAAAGTGGGGGTCAGATTTAAAAACGATTTTCACACCTGGGAGTTCCAAAGGGGCATTTTTGGAAGGGGTTTGGGGAAAAAATTAAAACCCAAACCATGTAAAATTTAAGGCCTGGCCCCCTTTCCCCATAATTTGAACAAAATTAATTTACAAAATTTTGTTTTTTCCCACATAGTAAACCCCTTTAAAATTTTAAAGGAAAAAAATTTTTAAAAGGATTTTTTTTTAAAAATTTTTAAGAAAAAGGGGGTTTGGAAATTTTATTTTCCCCGGGTTATAGAAAATTTTTGGGAATTTATTTTTTAACAAATTTATGATTATCTCCCCTTGGAAAAGGGCGTGGCCCTTCATTTGAACAAACTTGAATCCCCTTCACCCAAGGATACTTTGTGCCAAGTTTGGTTGAAATCGGCCAAGTGGTTCTTGAGAAGAAGATAAAAATGTGAAAAGTTTACGACAACAACGACAACGACAACAACAACGACAGACGACGGACAAATTTTGATCAGAAAAGCTCACTTGAGCCTTCGGCTCAGGTGAGCTAAAAACGGATTGCTGCAAAAATTGAAAGATTAACCGATATGTCTGAAAACACTAAAAAATATTGGATACGCTGTAAATATCGGAAGAGAAATAATCACTGGTGTCCAAGGACAAAATGATCTCATGCAGATTCAAACCTTTGTTTCCTAACTAAAATTAGGTAAAGAAACCTAACATGAATTGAAATTGCATGGACGACGAAAAAAAAATGGAAAGCAATAGGTACCTGAGCAATTCAGGTGACTTAATTAAGAGAGTAACTGCTGAGCCATGGTAAAAGCAAAATTATATGGTACATAATTATAATATCTCTATAAAATATTTTCATTTGTCAATGAGTACATGTACAAAAAAATAACATTCTCTGTATGAAATAGTATGCCTGCACTAAATGGTACTAATCAAGCAATCATGGCCTTAACAAATTATACTAAAATGTACATATCAAGCATATTAAAAATTAAGGCTTTTTAACTAAGGCTCATGAAAAGTGCAGGTTACACACCTCTTCAAAGAACTTCTCCTGTAATGTAAACAAGGAAAAAAAAAAGGAAAGTTAAACACAAGCATGTTCAAAAAATTTGGTCTCCGCTTTTGGTGTCTTTGTGGATGGGATGCCATTATTTGTCTAATATGAAAACCATATTATAATAAGCAATTTCAAAATAATCACCAAAATTAAATTTTTTGAAAATTAGGTCAAATGAAGCAAAGGTCAAGGCATCAAAACTCATAGATGCTCAGAAATATCTTGTCACATGTGATGCATAAGTCAAATAATAAAGTCCAAACTCATCTCAATCAAAGGTTTAATCAGGAAAGATAACAGCAAACAACTATACATGTAGTGCTCATGAGCGGCACAATTTTTATAAAAGGTATAGAGAACCACTTCCCAGACAATGTCTTACCGGTAATAGAGAATAGAATGAAACCTGAGTACCCAACAAAGTGTTATTAATAAAAAAAAAAAAAAACACCTGAGATCCAGTCTCTACTGACAAAAGGAATTTGCTGTTTTTAATTGCCTCAACCCGGGTGAAAAAGATTCATACACCTAATGTACCTCCAATAAAGATCTGGAAGAAGTTTTTTTCATTGTGCAGTATGTGAAATCACAGATTTTATGTAGCAAACTTCACAGTACAGTCAGATGGAACATTAAGGATGACAGTTAAATAGTGCTTCATTAGCCACCCTAGTACAAATGACAAAGTCTGTGAAATTTTAAGGAACATACAGCCACAATGTTCTGACACAGAATAGGTACGACAATAAAACCTACCTGTACTTAGGGATTCTGACCGCACAGAAAAATAAAATAATCAGGATAATTAAAATCTGGCATCTTAAATATACAGATGTATGATTAATTTACCATGTTTTCTGGGTACAGCTTTGCATCATTTTTTTTTTTTACAGAATTTTTACAGAATTAAATTTGCTTTCTTGAAAACGAAAGCATAGCTTGGCTGACTATTCTGTTTAAAAAGGGAATTAAATTTCCAATGTAATGCTGATTTAGCTGTGATTTTTTAATCTGTTGCATTTGATCAATATCATATTGGTTAATATGTAGAGTGACTATAAATATCATATGTTGTAAACTAAAGCACAATGTGTTCATTAATATTTCAGGATTTTTCCTTTCTAAATTTTTAAATTCAACTTAAATAACGAAATCTTTACCAATGACTTCTTAAAGTTGTAAATTAATTTGAATAAAATTTATTATTTTTAAAAATAAATCTGACTGTTCTATACATAAAAGACGTATGTAATGCAAACAGCTGATGATGCACTTTAAAGAAATATAAATCTTATCAGCTGATTTTAAAACTGCATTTTAATACATGACAAGAAGTCATACACATCCTTGGCCATATCACACCACCCACCCCTCGTCCAATCAATGCTCTGTCATTCCATGTTTATTCCTGCTTACATGTTGAAGTTCAACATTTAAATTTCTTATATTTCATTGACAGCTCAAGATCTTTTCAACATTTGTATTGCTGTTAGTCCTTTTAAACCATTCCTATTATTAAACTTGCCTACTGTGCAATGTACACAATTTCTCTTGAGAATTTCAAAATAATAAACATAGTATATGCACACATATTGAAATCTATACTGACTTAGCTTATATGTTTATCTAATGATTAAACTTCAGTATTATGTAAGATTATTACGTAAAGACCATTAAATTTATAAGGATCAATTACAGACTAATAAAAATGTCAAACCTATGCTTGCATTTTATATTTTAAGCACTCATTAATTTTATTTCTAAATGGACTTTGTACTCTTTCACTCTCTCTCTCCAGCTCTCTCTTTCTCTCTCTCCTGATGATGTCATACCTTTGGACAGGACCACTTCTTATCGCACCGGATTTGAAGCTCTTTTCATAATCTAAGTCAATGTTGAGGGTGTGTTTCTACAAGAAAAGAAAAAAAAAACAATTAATTTTACAAATGTAAAATTTACCATGTGTACAAATATTCTAGTTATAATCTTTAACAATATTTGATAGCACTCATGCAATGATGAATAAATAATCATGAAATGAACATTGATTTGAGATAAGAAACTCAAATGAGGCAGTAAAGGTGAAAAATTACATGAGATGCATTTCATATGCAGTAAGACTGCATCATAAACACTTAATTATTTCTTTGACCATTACAAATCTTATGTACAATTAATTTTGGCTGTAATAAATGTGTTACATGTAATTGTGTCTATAATTTTTCAGGAAATTAAAAGAAAAAATTAAATTAAAAAACCCAACAAACAAACAGTTGATCCTCTTTAATTTCCATTTAAATGTCTATATAATCTTAAGTTGAGATATATATACAAGTACATGTACCTTCCTTTTATTATTATTTTTTTTTTCATAATTATTTTGTGTCTATCATAATTTTGTTTTCATTAAAAGACTGGCAAATGATTTTTTTTTAAAATGTCAATTAAAAATTACTGATTTTAATACTTGTGTTACTGTGTGTAAAGATTTTGGCTTAATACACTTATAAAGGAATGTACTGACTCAGTAAAAAAAATCTCTTTTGCATGAAATAAACATTATCTACCCGACACTACGCAGCTATAAATTTTATTTATTTAATGTACTCTCAAAAGTCCAAATTTCTTTCCCTAAACTAGCACGTACGTCACATCAACAACAACATCCACTTTAGATAAGCAGTCTTTTACATCATAGCAAGAGGGGGTACACTGTATATTGGATTAAGAGTGACGTAGAATTAAAATGATAATTGTTCTGAGCAATAAATTGTGTTCCACACTCCTAAATATCAAACAGGATTTACTCTATCTTGATAATAAGCATTTCAATAGAGAATTTCAAAGAGAATTGTAAAATTTAAATTTCATTCTTCTTTCCTTTAAACTCCAAATTGAACAGTCAAACAAGCCACAATTTAAACTGCTTTGAACCAACTATTATTCACTCCAAAGATAATTTCTTTACTGTGACACCATAAAATGTAATTCAGTAAAGTATCAACTTCAATATAGGTATATAAAGCAGGTCATATGGCCAACTTTTTCAAGTTGTCTCGACTTTTTTATTTGTACATGCAACTGGCTATCTGATAAACACACTTTATAAAGCTATCTTATATCTTTAATTCTTTATGACAGGTTTTCATTCACCTTGGGACTATTTCACAGAGATTTCAATATTTACAAGACAACATGATCTTCCAAGTCTCTAAGCCATTACACTAAACCATTTTCATGCTGGGAATTTCAAAAACATTAACATAAATCCTTTTTCGTGATAAATTTCCATTAGTTTTTATATAGAATTATATGACCTTCTTTACTATTTTGATCCTACATTTAGCTTAAGACAATAACATATTCTTTCTTCCTAACCACCATCCCTCATATTACTTTCTCTGTTCTAAATCAATCAAACCACTTAATTCAACCTCAGTACAAAAAAAGTCATTATTTTAATGTCTCTCCATAAAGGGCATCCCTTTGTTCAGAATGACACAGTGAAATAATGCAGAGACTATAGATAAAATGCCAACACATGGATTATTCAATATATGGATCAAATGCAGCTAGTGAAGGTAAAAAAAAAAATCCAGGATAATTAGAGAAATCAATACAAGGGCAAAAATAAATAGTGCTCCTATAAATGTCAGCTGACTGGTTGTGATAGAAACCAGTAAACATCTCCATAGCAACAGAGACACAATCTTCATTTGATCTTATTAACACAGAACTGAACATATGTATTGTAAAAGGACAGTTAATTATATTGCTACCTGGTTGAGCTACGTGATTTAATATACGCTGACATTTCCAATACATGTATATGTATTATATATTTTGAAGCTGAGAAGGACTAAATGTAACATTGTATAGTTGATATTTATAAATGACTGATCTGTAAATTTATAATTTAGATTTTCAATGGTTCTTACAAAAATCATCATCTGACACTAAAGTAGCGGGTACTCATGATGAAACCTAAAGTACTAAAAGTAAGAAAATTACTCCTGAATTTAAGAGCTCGGAATTATATTCATTCTTTAAGTACTCACACTGACCGAATTTCTAAAGTACTGTACTTAGAATGATGATAAGGTAATTTTCCTAACATACCTATAATTATTTTTTAAGTTTCTTCTATTTCATTGCCATTTAACAGTTTAATTAAATCTGCTAATACGATCATCCCCCCCCCCCCCACCCACCCACCCCAAAAAAAAACATGGCATCATTATGAGTAGGTCAGAAATAATACCCATATCTTAGGCCATCCTTAAAAAATTGTTTGTTTGGAAATGCCGCCTGAAGGGTTTCAGACTTAGGAGGGAGGGAAGGAAATTATTTTTTTTTAAATTGAAGATAAATTATATATTTTTGATGAAAATCTCAGTAAACAGTAAATACATTTTCTGATTTTTTAAAAAAGTATATACCATCAACAAAAAAAAAATAATTTTACGTAGATCTGACACATATATTTCAGTGTTTTGTATGTTGCATGTAATGGGAAAAAAATTGATTAAATAAAAAAAAAGTATTCCTACTTTTGGTCGATAAATTTTTTTCAGGAGGTAACATTTCAATGAGGCGGAGGCAATTCCAAACAAACTATAATTTTATTTTGGCCTTACCAATATTCTTACAAGAGAAATCTTATGTAGGTTACTTACAATGAGGTAATTATTCCATGCACTGCGGATCAGCATCAGCATGGGGGATTGGAGATTTAGGAGGTAAATACTGACGGAAGTCTTTTTTCGTTCCTCCGGAGCCAGAAGTGTGTTGACTCGGATGATTGAGCTTCCGAAATCTGACACCGAAGCCATGCCAAGGTTACTAAAAAAGTAGATAAACTTTGGTAAAAAATAAATATGAAAACTATGAAAGACATCATATTTTATATGTAAATTATGAACAGGAATGCTACAGAGAACCGTAGTACTGTACACATGCAGTCATCTAATTCTCTGTTTTGTTACAATTAACTCAATGTTACGATTACTGTAGTATTCACCCAATCTGGACTGAAGTAGTACTGGAATTTTCAAATTAAATCATGACTTTCAGATCAATATTACTTAATAATTTCAAAATACTGTACATGCTTACACATTGTACATAGCTTTTTATAATGCATATTCATATCATAAACTACTTTTATTATAGACTCAATAAAATTAGGTAAACCTGAAAATATAAAAGTTTTAAACATGTTGGCATAAAAGTCCATATCAGTGATTTTAAAATTGAAACAACACAAAAAAATTTATGAAGTTTTCAGTATGTGCCAACACATGCATCATCTCTCACTATATCAGTGCTTTCAATGGAGTGACTGAGGAAAATCCATGTCAAGTGAATAAGATGATCAAGTGACCCTAAATCCATGTCACACATCTTGACTATTCGAAAGTTAATCAAGTTTAAGGCACAAATCACACAAGCATCATTTTATGCTCCCTAAGGAATGCAAATGGACAAAATCCTGGTGGTCAGGCACCAATTTATTGTAAATCAATTGACCCAGGGAACCTGCAAGGCTAACCTGAACACGTTTGATAAATGGGGAAAAGTTCAGCATATATCAGTATCACTTTTCTTGCAAATGGAACCATCAACTTCAAACAGGCATTTCTACCTCTGATTATAATGATTATGTTATACTGTAAAAGCACAAATATTAAATTATTTGTTTATTTCGTTGTTAACAATATTCAACGAAATTAAATCCCACACGAAATTTTATATGACTATATATTGAATAGGGTTACTTTCAAAACAACGACATTAAATGCCCACGAAACTATTTTTGATGAGAAAACAACAAAATTTTATGCCCACGAAAATTTGTGTTTCTACAGTATTAAAATGGAATTCCTTTTCTGGTACGTGTAATAAGGAATTTTCAAACATGTAGTCTCCAAATAAAATAGAATTGTTTTTTAGAAGTTTTATATGCTAATATTGTATCATACTGTGTACGATAATACGATTTTTCTTATTTACTTTAATTAAGAAAAAATATTTCACAGAAATCCTTCTAGCATATTTGAAGTCAAAGATATATACATTCTAGTAGCATATAAGTGTTCGTAGTACTCCTATAAAATCAGATTAACTAACTAAAAGCAAATATATTAAAGCCTGGAGATGCTACATATTGCCAATAATGTTGGTAAGCCATATCATATATTACAGTTGTATTACATCATGCATGTAAATTAATACTACGATGATAAGTACTGACATATTGTAAAAAAAAAAAGGACGACCTCCTAAGATATAAAGGCACTGACGTCTGACAATATCCTTGTGACAACATAAGGAAAGTGTCACAGATGTGGTCAACTAATCTGGCCATAGACAAGGGTGATTTTTTTTTTTCAGGATGACTGATGGGATACTCCACAGCCTTATAAACTAAGCTAGCATCTTGTATTATTTATGCTCTTTCTGGAGAGATTCACTCATCTCATTCCATGAAATAAAATCTGCTGCTAAATCATGAAGACAATTGCAAAGTTTGAATAGTATACCTGTATATATTTATGTTGAAACAGTGTCTTAACTTCGATCAGCATAAGGTACATTAAGAAATTTTACTCATTAACAGTGTTTCATTAGATTTTAAAGTCAGTAACATAAAATTTATGAACCATGGAACGGACAGCTACTACATACAAAGAAAATAAAATCTTGTTAAGACATACACCTAGGAAGTGTTAAAACAGCAACAGCAAAATGATGAAAAAACTTGCAGAGAGATTAAAAATCAACAAATCAAGTCTTGAGGGAAAAATATGGGAGGAAAGAAAAACCAGTGATTAATTAGCACAATAAATCAACAGGAATGTCAGTACGAGAGGTGGTAGAATAGTGCTCAAACACCTGCCCAGTTACCATAGTAACCATGCAACTAGCCTACATCTTACCTGGCACTACGCGTGCCATCAAAGTCCTGAGCGGGGGTGCCAGCCCTGGATATCCCTCGAATCGTCGTCACTGACGAACGACGGGAGTTAACTAATGGTTCCTGTACTAATGCATGTAATGATTGCATAGACCCCTTGTGTCCCTGGCTTGCAATATCAGAAGTGACATCGATATTTATCTCAGGTTTCTGAGGGGTATTAGCAGTAAAGAACACTTCATCATTTGAAGGCTTTCCATTGGTCACAACAGGTTTCTTAGTGCTATCTTTGACCATATCATCACGGCCACAAGATACACGGGAAGATCGGAAACAATTAAGGCTAAAACAGTTACAGAGCGTGGGTTTTTCTGCTTCAACTTGATCATGAGAAGAATTATTCTGATTACTAACAACATTTAATTTATTTTCCATGGAAATAGAAGGGGCCCTTGGTTGGGGCCGTACTGACCCCGACTGACTGAGGGTGGTGTCTATAGATTCCCGGTGATCCAATGACCTTCTTTGTCCTGATCCCTCCTTGCTTTTGCTTCCTCGAGTCGAATGAAGAATGGATGTGTATGAGGCAGCGAAAACACCATCTAAGTCATCCATGTCTTCCAGTTGTCCATCTTCCATTTCTTCTTTGAGTGCCTTAAGTACACTGTCTTCCATCCCTTCACCTATTCTTTTCTTCTTTTTTAGACTACTAGTCTTAATGTCTCTACCACTTGATTTAAGTCCCTGCGATGAGCTCACAGACCCTCTGCTCTCTGGCCGACTTGTCACAAAATAAAAACTCCATTGTCAGGCATAACAAGTTTTTATTGAGGATGGCAACAATCAAACAACAACAACAAATGAGATGCTGACCATTCAGACAATCAATTGACCCAAAAAAGGGGGGGTGAACTTGTCTTGACTACACTTAATACAGTTTATTTATTTATTCTAGTATCTGCAAACAACCTTAGCTCTCGGACTCGAAGTGAAATAACTTTGCGGAAATACTTGCGTTAAAATAAATAATTATGAATTCATTTTAACATGCGTCAATCCGGACAGTCCCTAAATATCTATATTCTAAATCTGTACTAAATATCTCCAGCAATCAACTTTATTACTGCCTAACTTACAAAGACACTATGCGTAAATTATCCCGAACATATGAATATTCCTAAAATGACTTTATTTTCAGCTTAAGCAAATCCGAACAAATACTGCCAAATCCGGACAACCCATTCCGGACAAGAATAACCTATGTGAACTTAACTGTATGAACTATTCTGGACATCCGAACAAACGATCCGGACAACTATCAAAATATAATTCTGTCATAAACTATAACCAATTAACTTCTGAACTTGGAAACAACTAATAGAAATGTTCCGGTCATAAGTCCTAATTAATAACTCGAACTGTAAACAAACAAACTACTGGTCTACATGACTAAAATAATTTCTCTACTCATAATACTGCCCCGTCCGGACGCGCGAGTCTTTATAAAAATTAGCATCATCCACTACAAGATCTATCATCTTGAATACCTTAAGCTTTCTCTGAGGATTTGGTTCAAGAACTAGCAACCACAAGGGATGTAGAGTCAAGATTGAGTGTCGAGATGCTGAAATTGGGTCCTATATATAACCTTCTATCACCAATCAGCGTTTGTCCTTTTTGTCCGGAAAATAATTGACCAATCCAAACGCTGTACGGATCTATGGAAAATCCGAACAATATACAATCTCCGGACAAGCTGAATTAAAACCCTTAATAAACATTTAATGAACAATACAAGACTTTGTCCGGATTACTTTAATTACATGGACACTAAAATACGTAATTAGTTTAATAAATAAAATTATCCAAGACTACGTAGTTTTGTTATAAAAATCAAGTTTCGAATCTAGGCGCCTTCAGAAGTAGTGCGCGTAGCGATATACGCAAATACGGAAGTGCGACTTCACAACATAGTACCTAGGATAGATCGATAAAATAAGACAATAGTTCACCATCATAAGGTAAATAAGGGACAAAAATATTGGTCAGCATCATATTACAATAATTCAAGATAAAAATAATGTACAACATGGTTGAATAATGAGAAATCAGGCAGCAGAATCACAGGTGACAAGATGAGTAGTGAAGCGGTCAATCAGACGAAGGAAACGCATGTTAAAGTACACAAGAAGTTCGCGAGCGGTAAAATGACGATTTCACATAGATGTAAGTAAAAGAATACGCTGGTACTGAACAGAGATCAATAACCGGTAATTATTAACAACTGTAATCTGTTAAAATGTATTATTTTACCGTATTTACGCAGAAACTTAGAGAATAAAATTTGTAAACAAACTATTGAAAATGGGGGATGTTGTCAAAACACGATCGGTATTACAGCAAGTTTTGTAAACAAAATCTGAATAAAAATAAGACATAATAAATGCTGCTTAAGCTTAATTAATAACTTTTAAAGTCATGTACTATGATTATAGTGTATCTCCATTCAGAATAAATTAATTGTAAACAATACAAGAGTAAGCACATGAACAGCTGATGAAGGTCTCACATATTACACCACCCCCCACTTAAAAAATACAAAATTCTCCTGAATTTTAAGACACATTAACAAAAATTTAAGACAGTCTGATAGGTACATTCCTTTCCTTAATTTGGTCAATAATGGAATCGTATTTCTTCAATCTTTTCAGGGCGGCTGCCTCCATCATAGAAAGAAAGTCACGGTCAACATCAGATCTAGCCCCCTTTATCGCAATATCACAAAGTTTCTTGTAATTATAAAATTTTAGCTTACGGTCTACTTCGTCTTGTGGTAGCATGGCTGGTTTGGCGGATCCGGGGAGACATAAGACATTGTACTTAGAAAGAAGTTGAGCTCGCGAGATAGAGAGGGTGTCTGCTGAGAGGACGCCATTTGTCTCAAGAGCCAGGGCAGCGAACTCCCAAACCTGCAGCTTTTGGTCAGGTGTTAAGGTTTCCCATCTGGTCGGTGGCCAAGAAATGGTGGTCCCTTCCCGTGAGATGTCAAAAGGAGGCACCCCTTGCCAATTTCTTCTGGCCGCTGGTAAAAGTGGCATCACACCATACTCCAGAAGGACACGAGCTCTCTCTGTAGACACAAGATCAAATACAACAGGGTGATCAGAGGTCTCTTCTCCGGAGATGGATGAAGGCTGTGACATGATGGATGAAGGTTGGGAGGTAGCAGAGGAGACTGGGTGTTCCACGGCTCCACTGGAGACTGACTTAGGGCCCTCGTCCTCCAGGATTGAAGAAGCTAATGGCTGGAGAGAAGTACACAAGGCGGCAGGGTCAGCAAACTCCCAGAGAACTGAATTTTTGAAGTCTGGCAGATCAATACTGGGGGGTGCTGTGGACTCAAGAGGCTTCTCTACAGGTTCCATGGTCTGAGAAGGAACAGATGGGACAGGCGTCTCAGGAGCAGGGGGGTAGAGTCGACCAGAGGCTTCGTTGCATCAGGAGGAGAGTCCGCATCCTGCTCAATGGTACCTATGGGAATGGCGATTAGAGGACCATCACCAGATGCAGATACTGGGGCAGAAGCAGCTTCAGTTGTTGAAATTTCCATCTGAGGTTCTGGTACAAAACAAGCAGATGGTTTGGATGGAACATAAGGAGGTGGAGAGGCTCCCTTCCTGATGGATTCTATTAACTTTTCGTCAACCCCCAACAGCTTGGACATTTCCTTTAGGAGGATGGGTGAGGAGATAGGCGAAAAAAAGGTAGGAATCTGGAAGAATGGATCAGGATGTATGCTCTGCGACTTCCTCATCACAGACGACAGAATCTGAGGGTTCCGGCTGGCCTCTGAAGTCATTTTGATGTTAAAAACTTTGTCTTCTTCTGAAGCAACATGAACCCGGATCAATCCTCCCTCCAAGCTGATGGCCTTGATCGTATATCGGTCATCTAACTCGGGTTTGGTTGGTGAATATCCCCTTGGCTTCTTCATTACTGGACTGTGGTCTTCTTCTGTCTCTTCTATGTAGTCTGGTCTGAAGTGTTCCTCTGGAGTTAATGAAGAACCTCTTCCCTCCTCCCAACCTTGCTCAAATTCTCTGAGTTTCCTACTGCTGAGACTGTTGCTTCTCACCCATGACACTATCTCTAATCGTGCTCTAATTGCCGCCTCGCTCTTCCAGGGATTTGGTTGAACGATTTTTCTGTAGTCTGATGGATGGACAGAGAACCAGAATCCATTAGCTTCGGAATAGAAATCACTGGGAACATCCTTTAACCGTCCCAACCCCTTGTGGGCCTCCAGCACGTGGACTTTGAGATCCGCCATTCTACGCAGTGTTTTTTCTCGTTTACCATCTCTAACTGGGCAAAACGGACAGATGACACGCATCCTCTCATGGGGACGGGAAATCAGGTGGTTCTTCCTGTCTCGATTCGACTTAAATTTGTCTGGGCACAACCAACAAGCATACACTGCAGAGGACATGCTGAAAACGGGTAAAAAAAAAAAATCTGTCAGGCTCAGTATAATATTCTGAGCCGAGAGCCATGCCGTCTGCAGATACATATTTAATTTGAGTAAAACATTCTAAAATCCACCCCCCTACCCTACTATCACTAAAATATTTTGTCGGGATGGCCAGCAGGACAAGGAAAAGTAAAACATTTTACAACACAACACACCTAAGGCAGATAGCAGATATCACCACAGAGGAGATGCAACACCAAGTGATCCCGAAGATCAAATAACAAAATAATATTTAAAACAAAATACAGACCCAACATCCTCTTCAAGGATTCTTCATGGTCACCAAAAACCGCAGGAGCACACCCTGGGTGATCAGGCCAGTTGTGCATCCTCAACCAAGGGCGCGACCCTTCACACAGTGTCACCTAGACACTAGCATCCTCCCCACTTCACCATAATCAAAACACAACAAATTATAAAAAGAAAAATCTGCTCCCAAATCTACCCCTGTAATATCTCAACAGGAATTACACAATGCCCCGGTAGCGGAGGAACACAATTCTTCCCACAGGTACAATGGATACTAAACATTCCTTCCAGAAACATTACTCAATTACTGCGCAGACGAGACCTGAATTTCTCTCTGCAACCTCCTTATCCATGCTGGCACATCCCTCCCCTTATAAACTGATAAGCGATCTATGTGATATAATTTTGCTTCTTTTCTAGCACTCCGTTTGACTCGATACGTGGTATCATCAATTTTCTCAAGGACAATGCAGGGACCACTCCATGGACAAGATAACTTCTTGCAAATCCCCTTTTTCTGTAAAGGTTCGTAGAGCCACACCAGCTGACCAATGTCAAGGGACTTTTTACTGGCTTTAATGTCGTAATAACGTTTCTGATGTTCTGCACTTGTTTTCAGGTTCTGTCTAGCAAGTTCATGAATAGAGTGGAGTTTTGCTTGGAGATCAGCTATATAATCCTGGGTGTCAGACTCTGTTTCATTGGTTGGGAGACATGTAACAGCTTCAAGTGGCATGGTGATGTTCCTACCCAATACCATAACATTTGGCGTAAAGTGTGTGCTACTGTGAACTGAGGAACGGTATGCCATCATTACTTGGGGTAGATACTCGTCCCATCTGTTCTGTTCTTTTTCACAATACATGGTAAGCATGGCTGCTAAGGTACGATTGAAACGTTCAATATTTCCATTACTTTGAGGTCTCATACTAGTTGTTCTGGTTTTGTCTATATGAAAAAGTTGACACATCTGTTGAAATAGCTGAGATTCGAAGTTGCGACCTTGGTCAGAATGGATCTGGAGTGGAGTGCCAAAACGACAAAGGAATTCGTTGACTAGGACTTTGACAACTGTTTCTGCCTCCTGATTGGGTATTGCATAGGCCTCTGTCCACTTGGTGAAACAGTCGCAGACGACCAGTATATACTTGTTGCCTTGAAGTGATAGAGGAAGTGGACCCATGATGTCAATCTCAATCCTTTCCATTGGTTCACCAACCAGATACTGTCTAAGGGGTGCAACTCTTTTGTCAACTGTCTTCTTTCTGGCAGAACATCTGGAACAAGTTCTTATGTATTCTTCTACAGACTCCTTAAGGTTTGGCCAATAATATTTATTCTTGATTCTTTCCAGGGTTTTCTCGATGCCGAGATGACCAGCAGACGGGATGTCATGGTAATATTTGATAACTTCAGACTGCTTTGTTAAAGGTACAACTAACTGAATTTTGGTTTCTTTGTCATCTGCTTTCCAGATTCTGTATAAAATGCCACCTTGTATTTGTAATCTATCCCATTGTCTCCACAGTGTTTTTGTAGAACTTGAAAGGTGTGAAATATCATTCCAGACAGGTTTGTCGGAGGCGTCATCTAGTAGCGTCATGATAGGCGAGATGTTCTGGTCTTGTAGCTGGAGTAAACGGATGTGGTCAGGCTCCCAACCTTGCAGTATGGCTGTATTATGAAATTGAGGGGGTTCTGAACTTTGATTCTGACCTCTGGTAACAATACAAACATGTTCTGTATCTTTGTCATTACAGCTAGTCTCTTCATTCTCATGGTTGTTCTCCACATCATTGTCTTGCTGATGTTTACAGGCTTTACACGGTCTTCTAGATAAGGCGTCAGCATTGTTGTGTTTGATTCCTGGGCGATGAACAACTGTAAGGTTATAGGTTCCTAGCTCTTGTAACCATCTGGCAACCTGCCCTGTAGGATTCTTAAGGTTTCTCATCCAGTTGACTGCTGCATTGTCTGTTCTGAGAAGAACTGGTTGGCCATACAGGTATGGGTGAAAATGTTTAAGGGCACACACAACTGCTAACAGCTCTTTGCGAGTAGTACAGTAAGACTGTTCATGTTTATTGAGTGCTTTACTGTAATATGAGACTACCTTCTCTTGGTCATTTTCTATTTGAGACAACACTGCTCCAACTGCCATGTTACTTGCATCAGTATCTAGTATGAAACTCTGGCCAGGTATTGGATAAATCAAAATGGGGGGAGAAACAAGTACTTCTTTGAGTTTTTGGAAAGCCATAGTGCAGTCTTCATTCCACTGGAATTTCTTATCTTTTTGACAAGCCAAATGGAGGGGTCGGGCAATTGCTGCAAATCCCTGTACGAATCTCCTATAGTAGGAACATAACCCCAGAAAGCTTCTTACTTCTTTGACACTGGTAGGTATGGGCCAATCTTGAACAGCTTTTGTTTTGTCTGGATCTGTATGGATGCCTTTTTCTGATACTACATGTCCTAATACTTTAATTTCTTTTTGGAACAGAGAGCACTTGGAAGGTTTGAGTTTGAGATTGGCAGCCTGGAGTCTCATGAAAACATGTTCTAATCTACTTAAGGTATCTTCAACTGTCTTTCCAGGTACAATAATATCGTCAATGTAAATCAGGCATTCTCGCCACTGGAGACCTCGGAATACGTCTTCCATCAATCGTTCAAAAGTGGAGGGCGAGTTGGCAAGTCCAAATGGCATCACAGTAAATTGGTAGAGTCCTTGACTGGTTGAAAAAGCTGTCTTGTGTTTATCAGCTGGATCCATCCCAATCTGCCAAAATCCAGAGTTGAGGTCCATACAACTAAACCATTTTGACTCTGACAAAGAATCAAGGCATTCATCTATGCGTGGTAAGGGATAGGCATCTTTGACTGTCACATCATTCAATTTCCGATAATCGACACAAAATCTGGTAGAACCATCTTTCTTGGTAACCAGGACAATAGGAGATGACCATGCGCTGTTTGATGGCTCAATAACATTTCTTTTTAGCATCTTTTCTAGTTCCTGTTCCTCAACCTCACGTTTGCCAAAAGGTAATCTTCGTGGAGGCTGTCTAATTGGATTTGCTGGACCAGTGTTGATTTTGTGCTGTACCAAATCTGTTCTCCCAAGGTCATCTGATGATTGTGAAAAGACATCCTGGTACTTAATTAGTAGATTCTTTAACTGTACAGTTTCCTCATTCTGTAGGTGCCTGGAACTACGTTGCAGAAGGTCAAGAAGGTGTTCTGGCAGTTTGGGGTTGCTATCATCAGGATTCTTGGTTTCAGTGATCTTGCAGCATGACTGGTCTGGAGAAGAAGGCTGTTCGTAAAACGACTCACAAGTGCCAAGTTTCATGTTTGGATAAAGGGTAACCGGGTTGCTGCTAAAATTTTGAATAACTGCCAATTTGGTGGTTGAACGGGTGTCTACAATGCCTGGGAGAAGTGAAATGTTTTTGTCTTGAAAAATTGCTGCTGGTGTTTCTACTAGGCTAAACTCTGCCAAATGCTCTGCTTGAGGTATCAAAATTGGAATAACTACTTTCGTTTCAGGTGGAATGACCATCGTCTCCTTGACTGCAACTCTACAAACTATGCTTGCTTCACCTCCAAGCCAGCACTTGATGTCACCTTCATGGGTACATAAAACCAATCTCCCGAGATCTAATTTCTGCACATTCTTCATTAGGAAATCTTGACCTAGGATACCTTCATTCAGCACATCACACACGACCACAGGAAGGGTACACTTCAATGGACCAAATACTGCTGGAATTTCTGCATGGCCATAGACTGTAATTTCTCTGTTGTTAACATCAACCAGTGTCCTTTCGTCCTTCTCTAACTGTGGCTTGACATGTGGATCTATACTGTCAAACACATACTTGGAAATGATTGTTGCTGTTGAACCTGTGTCAACTAAAAAATTTGTTTGAAAACCACCCACCAACCCAGATACATAAAGGCCATCATCCCATTTCTTTTCAGTTTTACCAATGTGTCCTAATCTAATATTTTCATCCCATTCTAAATTTTCTTTAGGCCTTTCATGTGTATCATCCGCCAAGCTCCGACCTAGTAAGCCGACGGTTTGAAGTTTCCCTGACTGGATGCTCTTTGTTGCTTGCTGCTAGGGTTGTATGATCTGTTTCTCATGTCAGGATTTTGTTTGTTCATAGGACAATCTCTCATGAAGTGGTCAGGGGCATGGCAAATGTAGCACTCTCTGTTGTTGAAATTCTGTCTGCCACCAAACTTCCCTGGCCGTCCGGATTCTAGCTTTTCAAGTCTGACGAGAATCTGCTTCAAGGCATCTGTCACTTCCGTCTGGGCTGCACTGGCACCACTCTGGCTTTTCTTGACGTCCTTTTCTTCCCCAATTGCTCTAACAGGTTGTTTCCGTTTTTCACCATCACCTAGGACAGCTTCATAGCGCTCTATGACTTCTACAGCATCTGCAATCGTCTGGCAGTCTTTATCTATGCAGCGGCATTTCATCTCTAATGATATACTTTTATAAAGCTGGTTAATGGACAGCGCCTCTTGTGCCAGGGCATCCAGGTTAGGATAAGCCTTCTGTGACATCTGCCTCAAATCGTCAGCCAAAGCTGCTATAGATTCGTTTGGTGTGCGTCTCCTAGATTCAAATCGGGAGAGCCAGCGATTCTGTTGCCGGGAACTTCCAAATCTTTGCTCAAGTTTGTCAACAAGGACAGTATATGGTTGCCTAGATTCGACAGGTAGACTAATGTAGAACGTGCGTGCAGGGCCCCGTAGACATGCAGCTAGCG